GGGGGGGGGAGAAGGGGGGAGGGGGGGGGGGGGGTGGGGGGGGGGGGGGGGGGGGGGGACGAAGAGTGGAGCAGTGGGCCTGAAACGTTGACCGATGGGACGGGACGGGACGGGACGGGACGGGACGAGACGAGACGAGACGAAACGAAACGAAACAGAAGGTTAGGAGTACGTCGACATGCAACAGCATACAACACCTTACAACATTACGAGTTTAGTCTGTTTGCACGAACCGTGTGTACAAACAGCGTACACGCGATGCCGCTTCTCGAGTTTCGACCGGGACACAAGTCTTTCCCATAATTTTGTGAATTGTCTGGCACGTATTCGTTGCACCCGTGGTCGATCGAGAACTCTTCGGGAAAGAGCTTCTCGACGCACTCGAGAAGAACGGCTAAAAATAAGCAAACATTTTCTCCGCTCGTGTACGACAGTGTTCTCAAAATGTGTTGCGACCATTTTTATTCTTCGTAAGAGCCGCGCGTACACGTGGCTCGTAGAGAGGCGTATGCTCTCTTCCAAATTCGCGCGACTAAGAATTTCAAAGACGGGATTTATACTCCCTTTCGGTATTCGAATCGTGTTTTTGTCTCTCGAAGCACGAGTTTCGTTGCAAACTGGATACAAGTTGAATCGAGTCGGTTAACAAGAATTGCCAAATTTCTTTCGGAGGCGCACCGATCGTCGACAGCAAGTTGCGCGTCGAGTTTCGGTGAAATTCGATCGTCGAGTACGTTCCGTGCCTCCGCGCGACGTTAGAATTCTTCGGACGAAGCGACACGACCGACTAAAAAAGACTTTCCGTTTTTGACACGGTGACGTCTCGATCGGCGTCGTTACGCGAGAAGTCCGTGTCGGATCGATGGCCGAACAAGTGCCAAACTTTTACGTCGTTGCGACAAAGGGAATAGTAGCCGAGATATCGATTCGAACGTCAATTTCTATATTCATCAATTTGTTCCGCGCCGACTATTCTATTATATTTCGTAAAATCGTAAAATCGTAAAACCGTAAAAACGTAAAACCACGAAACCATGAAACTGTAGTACCGCCATACGTATTTCTAACTTCGATAAAACAAAAAGAAGCGAATTCGGTATCTCTTTCGATATCCAGTGGAAGAAAGGGAGAGCGATGGGAGGAATGAATCGCATAAAAAAGGTATCGTCGTTTCGAAACGAAATCGAGCCTTCAAAGTTTACGTTCGACGGTCGCGTCCGTCGAAAACCTTGACTTTATGCTGCCATATCCCTTTGGTGGATCTCGCGTAATTATTCGGTTTCGAAACATTCGCGATACATGTACTTTGAATTGATTTCACGGTATAATTTCACGATGACTTTTCAAGGGATTAACACGATAGGAAACAGCCAAAGAACATTGAAAGCATTTTTGCATTCTGTGTGTTTTTACAAATATTAACGCTATTATTATTTCTGTTAACGTTATCGTCGCCACACAGTTATCGCTACCGTTACAACTACTATTATACCACATCGTACCGCTACCGGTGCTACCATTAACCACCGTCGCGATCGCTACCACTAATTGGTACCGTATTACCAACAACGCTGTTAGAATTACCGTTTGATTCTTTGTTTTTTTTTCCAAGACGAGCGGTTAGTCGCAGAACGTTAACGATTGTGTGAGCTTCCCATCCGCGTGTCGTAGTAACACGGTGTTTAACGCGACGAGTACGTCGCGTTACTTAACACAACGTGTTTTTAACTCTTCTTTTTTTTCTTACTTTCTCTCTTTTCTTTTCTTTTCTTTTCTCTTTTCTTTTCATTTCATTTCATTTCTTTCCCGTTTGATACAGTTGCTTTACGATCTAATTAATAGCAAGTGGGACCTTTATTGCGTTTACCTTCGCATTTATGTTAGATGTATAAGACTGCTTGAGAAGAGATTCATTGATTCTTTTAACATTAGCGCGTTCTATCGATGCACGTCTCCCTTTCCTCCCTGCGACAGTTCTAAGATAGCGCCGATAAGTTGCGACAACGCTACCGATCAGCCATTTTTTGATTTCGCGTCGATAAGGTGTCGCGCATACGCGAAGAAACGAGAGAACCCGATGTTCGAATAAGCGGTGCGCGAGACGCTCGAGCCAATCGCGTGTTAATTACATCGAGTATATGAAATAAGTCGATTATAAGCGCGCGTGCCTATTAAGAGATACGTGTATAGACGATAAGTACGTGCACATCGATTTCTATCGTATACCCGGGCCGACGTTCGTTCATGGTATATCATAGAATTTCGAATTTCGAGTTTTGAATTTCGTATTTCGAATTTCCGAATGTCGAATTTAACGGATCGTTAACGGAAGATCAATGTCGTGACGCACGAGTCACGCATAGGAAAATCATTGGTACAAACGCCAAAGACTTAACTGTTAGTTTTATCGATAATTAAGTTGTTCAAATATATTCATATAGAGGAGTGACCTCTTTGTCGAAAATGTAGCTAGAAAATATGTTTGTTGTGTGAACGTTTGAAACAAAGCATTCGCTAAAGGTGTAGGGTAATGAAGAGAATGTAGAAACGAAAAAGAAAAAGAGAGTTGAAGGAAACTGAATAATCCGCAAAAGAAGAAGAAGAAGAAGAAGAGAAGAGGAGAGGGGAGATGTGGTGAGGAGAGGAGAGGAGAGGAGAGGAGAGAAGAAGGTAATCGGAGAAGAAGAAGAAGAAGAACGCAACAAGCGTTGAACAATCGTGCCTATCGAAACGTTACGTTACCGCGTTCTTTGTATGTATATTGTGGAAAGTGTGAATGCAGACGCGAGCGTGGATCGATGCAAACGTGTAATTTGTAACGCGTAACCTATGCGTGTACGTACACCGTCGGTACGTTCGACGATCGCGAATTTACCTTGGTTAACTATACGTATACGTACACGCGACACGCGCGTGCATCGATGCCGCGAGCTAGATTTAAATCGTGTTCAAGAGAAACAAAGTTCTTCGATGTACAAAATACAATTCAAGTTTATTTTTAAATCGCGATAATCGTTACGGTCGCCGCCCGGGACCGTCTCGTTAGAAATTGTTAGGGGATTACTTTGTATTAGGATAAGAATAGATCTCTCTCTGGCAGGTAAACGATCCGCGATAACGATCTCTTTCGATCGGTGAAAGATAGTTTTCGATCCGACGAATCGAAGAATCGTCGCGTGGGTAATAACGAGGATGGTGACGAAGACGAAGACGAAGACGGCGAAGGCTGAAGCAAGAGAAGATGCGTAGAGAAGATGTGCCAAGATCGAGTGGCGAGTGGTTGTTGCAACGCGTTCGCGCGAAACGGTCCCAACGGATCGCCGCATTCGTTGGAATCGTCGCGGTCGTATCGCGCGCGATTCGCAACGTTGCTCGACGCAGCATCGAATCGTTCAAAGTTCCTAAATCTTTCCACGTTCGCGATAACGAACGGTTACGCGCGATACGATGCAACGAACGTTGATCGACCGTGGAGCGCGTACGCGAAACCCTTCCACTCGTTAACGACGATAAAAAAGCAATAACGGTGCCTTGCTCGGACGTAGTTTTCGATACGTACCGATAGTTCATAGGAGTATTTTACAAAAATTCTTGCGCAAAACGTTCGCCGAATTCGTCGAATTGTATTTCTAACGCGTATACTATTTTAACGAAAACTTTAGGAAATTCGAGTAGCAAAAAGGGAAGACATATCGTTCGCGTCCTCGTTTTAGCGATGAATTTTTTTTTCTTTTTGTTTTGTTTGAAAACCGATGGAAAAGTTGTAGCAAATGAAATATATACGTACGAACATGGCAGAAGCATGTTCGATACTGTCTTCATCGAGAGATTAAGGTGCGTACCGTTCAACGGTCGAAGAGTTTTTAGCGAACAAAAAGCTGTCACAACCGACTCAAAACACAAATGCAAAACGAAAGAAACATTGGATTCGAAATTATAAATACATTTCTTCCACGAATAAAATGAGACAACGATTCCTCTAAACAGTCTAAACCAGCATTTATTAAGAGCGAACGAGAGGGGAGAAAACATGTCCCCTGCTTTCGTACGCACGAGAGGGAGAGAGAGAGAGAGAGAGAGAGAGAGAGAAAGAGAGAATGTGAATACGGATGAATGCACGAGGAGGAGGGCGAGTAGGAGATCGTGGGAGAGACGTTAAGGGTGGGTTAGGTACGGGAGAGAGAAACAAATGAAATAAACGGCAAGAACAAAAGAAAATAATAGAAAGGTCGAACGATACACTGTGTGTGTCGGGCTTAGGAAAGCGATATTACCGAGATCGCGCGAACATTTTCTATACACGTTTAATAGTATTTTTTTTACAGTTTTTCTCTATCGGTTTCCCCGCACGAAGAAAACATCGGAGAGGGAAACGCGCTTACAATAGCTAACGGGATATTAAACGAGAAAATCGAGGCGATCTTTAGACAAATTTGGATAAACCGATTTGTTTGGACGCGCGTGAAATTTCTATCAAGCTCGTGTGGTATCGTTTCGAACGCGTAACAACGTCTCGTCGTCGATCGTTGCGTTCTTTGTCAAAATCCTTCGAAGATTTCTTTCGACGTTCCGCGAGCGTGTACGAGATTATCTTAAATCGAACCGCTGCAATTTCGATGTACGTGTACGAGGGAACGCAAAGGGGTTGCGAGAGAATCCAAGTTGTCGAAAACGAATTATCGAAATCGAATGCGAGCGATAAATTGTTCGATCGAAACGAGTATGTATTTTTAGATGGAATCGCGTACGCGTATATCCGGTGCCATAGAAAATCGTCGTGGTAAAGCGCAATGTTAAACCAGCGAATAATTCTGTTTCGCGATAACGTATTATGTTTGGACGTAAAGATACGTATCGTTTTATCCCATCCCCCGTTTTTTTTTTCTTTTTGGTAAACTGTCTCTATCCGTATCCGCGTATTTTTCACGCGTACGAACGTCGCGAAATCCTGACTCGACCGGATAATTACTGAGAAAATAAAATATTGATTTTTCTTTTCGATCAAAAAATCTGTCGCGCGCGCACGGTAAAACTCGTTAGGTTCGATAAATTTGAGTCAGGATTACACGTGCGCGAACATTCGGCAGGATAGGTTCTTCGAATACTTTAGAATTACCGATACCTGTATATTGTTCGGTTAGCAGATTTATAATAAAGTTGTGAATTTTATTATACATACGTATAATATATTCTTGTCACGGTTCGTCCGTTTTCTTTTTTCTATTATCCTATTTTCACGTTTCGCTGTGTTTCCATGTCTCGCTGTTTTTTCCGTTTTGCACGAGCCTTTGATAAAAAGCATGTCGGGAATACGCGGGGAAGGGTGAAAGAAAGGTGAATANTATCGGTTTCCCCGCACGAAGAAAACATCGGAGAGGGAAACGCGCTTACAATAGCTAACGGGATATTAAACGAGAAAATCGAGGCGATCTTTAGACAAATTTGGATAAACCGATTTGTTTGGACGCGCGTGAAATTTCTATCAAGCTCGTGTGGTATCGTTTCGAACGCGTAACAACGTCTCGTCGTCGATCGTTGCGTTCTTTGTCAAAATCCTTCGAAGATTTCTTTCGACGTTCCGCGAGCGTGTACGAGATTATCTTAAATCGAACCGCTGCAATTTCGATGTACGTGTACGAGGGAACGCAAAGGGGTTGCGAGAGAATCCAAGTTGTCGAAAACGAATTATCGAAATCGAATGCGAGCGATAAATTGTTCGATCGAAACGAGTATGTATTTTTAGATGGAATCGCGTACGCGTATATCCGGTGCCATAGAAAATCGTCGTGGTAAAGCGCAATGTTAAACCAGCGAATAATTCTGTTTCGCGATAACGTATTATGTTTGGACGTAAAGATACGTATCGTTTTATCCCATCCCCCGTTTTTTTTTTCTTTTTGGTAAACTGTCTCTATCCGTATCCGCGTATTTTTCACGCGTACGAACGTCGCGAAATCCTGACTCGACCGGATAATTACTGAGAAAATAAAATATTGATTTTTCTTTTCGATCAAAAAATCTGTCGCGCGCGCACGGTAAAACTCGTTAGGTTCGATAAATTTGAGTCAGGATTACACGTGCGCGAACATTCGGCAGGATAGGTTCTTCGAATACTTTAGAATTACCGATACCTGTATATTGTTCGGTTAGCAGATTTATAATAAAGTTGTGAATTTTATTATACATACGTATAATATATTCTTGTCACGGTTCGTCCGTTTTCTTTTTTCTATTATCCTATTTTCACGTTTCGCTGTGTTTCCATGTCTCGCTGTTTTTTCCGTTTTGCACGAGCCTTTGATAAAAAGCATGTCGGGAATACGCGGGGAAGGGTGAAAGAAAGGTGAATAAGAGAGAGAGAGAGAGAGAGAGAGAGAGAGAGAGAGAGAGAGCGGTGCAGATGGTAGAAGTTTTAAGAGACCGGGCTACGAAGAAAATGTGTTCGAACGATCGAAATCTGGGATGCGCGCGTGTAGAAACGGGGAGGATGAAACGCGCGTAGCGAACGATCGCGTCGCGTCGTATCGGGTAGTTTCGTATCGTACCGCGACGTATCGCGAATCGCGACGGAGGATACACGAGGTGGCACCTGAAACGAGAAACGTTGCGTCGAGCGGACGACTCGGTCTCGGTGGAAGACCGAGAGAGTCGAGAGTCGAGAGTCAAGAGTCGGGCGTGTCGGCGATATTCGATCGCGAGAGAGTTACGGACAAGGTGCGCGCGATACGGCGTACTATCGGTGGGTCGACGGTGACGGCGACGATCGCGAATCTCGCGCTCGCACGCGGACACGTTTTCCTACCGCGTTCGGGCCATTTACGCGCGTTTCGAACGATCGGTTCGAAAGTTCCGCGCGGCGAAGAGCGCGATACGACCGAGAACTCGAACGTGGAAGCGAACGACGCGCGTCTTTCGTTCGCTCCGCGCTTTTGCGAACACCGTTTGGAAACGGTACAAGAAATTTCAAGAGAACTTGCTCGTTGGGGAAAGATCGATCGGAAAGACGGAACGGTTGGATTTTTCCGCGACGATCGCTTTCGCTTCCTGCCGTCGCGACGGCGAAGAAACTGCGGCGGGCGCAATTATGCCGTAGCCCTGTTGATCAGCGTGCATCAAAATTAGCCCAGTTATGGTACAACGACCGTTCTCCGGCAACAGCGTTTCTATGAAACAAACAACGCGCGTACGCGTACACGCGATACGTGTGCCGACCACGAAAATCGAAGGTATGTACATAAGTACGCGCGTACGGTTACTCGAAAAATTGTGCGTACACCTCTCGAAACGCGATTACTTTTTTCAAATTGGACCGAGCCGATTGAATTTTCTTTTAGACGATAGCGAGACTCGTCTACCGGACGATCACCGAAACGTGTTTCTTTATTGTTTGCTATTACGTAGGCGGGGTGACCAAAAACTAATAATATAATAATAACAATAAAGAACTCTCGTTTCTGAACTTTTTTATCCGTCGGTAATCGATATTTGAAAATCTCGAAGTACGAACGCGACAACGCCGTAGGCCATAGGATATCGGCGGTTTCCTTCCGGTTCCTTTTCTTCGAGACTCGTAGCCTCGATTCTTCGATCGGTTCCGAATCGGATCGAGTCGATCCATGTAAATGCTATCCGATCCGACCGAACGCGTACACACGGTTTGTCGCGTATATACGGTAGATGTAAAAACAAGTTGTACTCGCGACAGGTTTTCAAAGTGCTGTATTCGAAATCCTGTATTCGAGCTTGTTCGACTCTTACGGTATTCGGGCCGACGACACGCGACGGCTCCGAAACCATCGATTTCGAAGCTCCGTCCGTTACACACGTTGCACCGTCGCTTTCGAGGAACATCCTTGAAAAGTGTCCTATAGAACGCGATACGTACCTAACGTTCGATCAATTCTACCATCTCGTCGAATTATACGCTGCGACGCGATCGGATATCGGTCCGCGAGCTGCGGCGAGTCTTACACCGTTACAATCTTCTTTTACGTTCTCTTTCATATTTTATAATATCTATCATCGGTATCGCGATCCACGAATCTCCTATTCTCCCGACAAAAAGCTCGCGTGCGCGCGCGCGGGGGCAACGCGTAAGGTTAAAAAGATACGAGGTATGAAATACCTGTGCGGACATAGGTACCTGTGCGGCGCGTATGCGGAGAACGATAGGAAACGTTGGGAGAGCGGAGAAATCGGAAGAAATCGGGAAAGACCGATTGCAAGAGGTTGAATTTATGAAAACGATCGTCGACCGAAATCGATTCGATTCGCGACCCGTTTTCGCGCGCAAGGCTAACGTAACGGTTGCCGACCAAACACGTACGCAAATCGTACGCTTAATTGGAATTCGAGATCCGATCGATCGAACGCGTCTCGCACGGTTTCGATTGCAACGCACGTTTCGGCGTCGATCGAGCGAAGAATAACGCGGCGAGACTGTGCTGTACGTGTGCGTGCGCGCGTACACGCCGCGAGTCGGCGGTTACATATTTACGGTAAGTTCTATATGGTTGACAAAATTTGTATTCCACGCGATGCTGCTCGAACGACGACCTACTACCTTTTTGCTCGAACGACTCTCGCCTAAAATTATTCGATAGCGTAGCTTACGAAGGAGAAGGTACGGTTTAGACTTTTGGAGTAACGCGCGAAAACGGAGCTGGTCCGCTAGCTAAATACGTCGAGTGAAAAAACGGTTTCCGTGCGTCTTTCGAAACGGGATCGTTTCTTCGAAATTACCGGTACGGTGTTCGGTACTGTGCCGTCGATTAAAAACAAATCGTCGGTGTCGCGTTCGACGCGATTCGATTCGCGATCGTTGAACATTGAAAAGTTACAGCCACGGTGTAGACTCGCGTAGGCTGTCGCGCACCCTCCCCGTTGTCGCCGTCGGTTTCTTCGTTCGAATAACCACCGCCGTCGCCACCACCGCCACCGCCACCGCCACCGTCGTACGAAAGCATCGCGCGCGTCGGTGCCTAACGGATGCGTAGTCGATTTTCGATCCTCCGAGGAGCCACGTTTAACCCGCTTTCATTTTGTCCCGTATTTCCTACGTGCCAGCGAGACGCTATCTCGTGCCTTCGAATTTCCAATTCGATTATCGAACAGATTCTCCGCATCGTCTTTCGTTGAACGGCCAAACTTGACGTCGACGACAACGACAGCGACGACGAGAAAGAGAGAGAGAGAGAGAGGGAGAGAGAGAGAGAGAGAGAGAGAGAGAGAGAGAGAGAGAGAAAGAGCAACGGCAACGGTAACGGCGAACCAGGAAACGCGCGTGTATCCGCTCGAAAAACTGGAAATATGCGAAAGAAAAAGAGCATGGCTGCGTTGCTTGGTCTGATTCTGCTCCTGAAATCGTCGGACGTCGAAAGCGGCCTCGACGGACAAGAATCGTATTCGAGTTTCTCTCATCATCGACAGAAAAGATTCTTTTGGGTAACCGACGACGGTCGAATCGCTTTACCGCCCGGCACGATCATGACCGTAACTCCGACGTTGGCTTTGCCATTCGTTCGATATCCGCCTTACGGTTTTCTCAGTAACATGACCATTAGTCTTCCTTTTACCGGTGAGTGTGAAAATCGAAAATCTCTTTACGCGCGATATCCTTTTCGTTTGCGACGATTGCTAATTATTCCGATGTTTCGAACGCAGTCGATTTCGACAAGCTCGGTTTAACCGACAACGAAAACCCTTACGGCGTTTTATCGTCCGCATTCGAGGATACGGCGGGGGATCGAGCTTCGACCACGGCAGAATTCGTAGCGTCGTTCGTAAAGCGTGGACTCGGTAAAAGGGAGGCGAGTCAAGATTTACCAAAAAATGCGTTATACGGAGGTGAAAGAGCTCTGCTTTACAGTGCCGCCGAGGATATGATCGCAAATTTTGGCTTCAACGGAAAGGCGTGTCTGCTGAGAGCGATTTGCGAGATCCAAGGACATCCGTTGAACAATTTTGGATTGATCGGAGAAATGTTGAAGCTCTTTTTCACGTAAGTTTCGAACGAACCGCTATTCCCCCTTCTCTCTCTCTCTCTCTCTCTCTCTCTCTCCTCTCTCTCTCTCTCTCTCTCTCTCACTCTCTCTGCCCTCCGACC